AATAGTTGGACTAATATAAGCTAGTATCATGGTTAGTGGATAGATTGCAGAAGTGGTAGACTCAGCTAGTTAGGAGCTGGTTCAGTTACAACCAATACTTGAGATGCCAGCTGATACACTCAAAGAAACAAAATGAAACTGTGTGCATATTGGCTATTATAGCATACTGGAAAATAGGAATCAACTGAGAAATTACTATGGACAGTTAGACAATAAAGTAAAAATGGGAAATGTACAAAAATACTAGGTTTGGTATACTTAATAGTCTCTTAAGTCATGATGAATCTTGTATAGAATAGCAACACAAGGTGTAAGATTATTTAGAAATACATTTTACAATAAAGAGGAATCATTCTATGAAAAATATTTGAAATACTAAAAGATGCAAATGAATACTTGTTCAATTGAGATAACATATAAAATGTACTTACATAGGTCAATTCAGCATAATAAAGATTAGGTTCCCTAGATCATTTATGAATGAAATGTTACATTTTTCTAGTTAAACTAATAGTTTTTATTAGTGACATGCCAATTATAAAGCTGATACAGAAAGTGCACATATAAGAGTAAGGCAAAGCTTGGGAAATGGAAATGATTTAAGATTACCCTGTTAAATATCAAATAATGCCATAAGGTTTTAGTGTTTAAAATCTTAGTTCTCAAACAAGGATCATCAAAGCAATGGGATGAACAGGAATATTCAGGTATAGATCTACACTCATGTGTTTAGTTGATGGTGAATGTTTTATTTCAGTATTGGGGTAGGGTGGAGTAGGGAGTCGAAGGGTACAGAAACTACAGCATGACTTTTTTTTAAAATAGTTAGTTGAACTCTTTATGTCACAGTATATACCAGAATGAATAAAATACACAATGAATAATAATTAAAGAAACAAAGCAAAACACACACACACACACACACACACACACACACACACACACACACACCCCAGAAAATAGTAAATTGACTAACACTTTTCAAGTAATTCTGCATATCAGAGGACCTATAGGTCCACAGGATTTGGAGAGGGAAAGAATAATTTCTTCTCTACCTAGGGAAAATTATCCCAGAAAGCCTAAAAACCAGGGAAAGAAGTTGACTAGGAATATGATCCACTTGCAGAATAAATAAATAAATACAGACTCTGTGAGATGATGACAGCATCTCACTCATAAAAGAAAATCCAATGGCATCCACAGTGTGGACTGTTTCCTTCCTCCGAAGCCAGTTTAGAACCTTTAGTTCTGGTCAGTTTCCTGTAGAAAGGCCGAGAAAGGAGAAAGTCAGAGTAGGATCACAAATACAGCTGCATACCTGCAGAGGACTTGACAGTATCTGCCTCGGGGAGAATGGAATTTAAAAGCTTCACAGTGTGACTGCAGATTTTTAATTTGGGAAAGATCACTGATGGATTCCTGCTAAGAGAACATTTAACGTAATATGGCTTTAACTGAACTTTTATTTCACTATATTAAAAAGTATATTTTGATGCTGTTTTTTCCTTATTTTTAGCCAGAACCACCAAAGAAGCCATCTAATTGGAGAAGAAAGCATGAAGAATTCATTGCTACCATAAGAGCAGCAAAAGGCCTTGATCAGGCACTTAAAGAGGGGGGCAAACTTCCCCCTCCTCCTCCACCTTCTTATGACCCTGGTATGTGGAGTAGTTAGTGGTGACAGAAAAGTTCATGTGGGCAAAGAATTACAGAATTTACTTTTTCAGTTGGTGTAAAATAATTTTTATGTTGAAACCCAAAGGCACATAATCTTTAAATACTTTGATGTCAAATAATGGTGATAATTCAAACATCTAGATATAAAGATATATCCTTACAGAGCAATAAAAACACTACTTTTTTTTTTTATCACAATGCTTTTATTTAAATATAAGCTTTATGTCTTTTTTTTTTTTTTTTTTCGAGACAGGGTTTCTCTGTGTAGCTTTGCGCCTTTCCTGGGACTCACTTGGTAGCCCAGGCTGGCCTCGAACTTACAGAGATCCGCCTGTCTCTGCCTCCTGAGTGCTGGGATTAAAGGCGTGTGCTACCACCGCCCGGCTAAGCTTTATGTCTTAAAAATTATAAATATAAAATATTAATAATATAGAAAAACCAATCATGCTCATTACACATTCATCAGGATTCAAATAGTTATGTTGCTTGGTTCTTTGGTACCTTGCATGAAAAGAAAGTTATATTTCTAAAATATATAATTAATCCAGAACCTGTGGTATAGACTAATTACCTAAATTATGTTTCAGAAAAATACATTGTTGCAGTTTCCACTGGGAAACTGGAAGCTAATTATCAAGGTAAAACAATTGTAATAAATACATAGAAGATATTGAGCTACACTTAAAGTAGTAGAATTTACATTTTGCTGTTGGATATGAGAGCATCGTCAACAGGCTGTTATTTTAATGTAAACAGCTACATTAAAATTGAATTGGTGATCTAGATTGGAGTTTACTCCTAGTAAAGAGGATGTTCTTTAGCAGACCTGGATGTGAGTAAACATTTTTTCTAGAGGAGACATTTCCCAGCCATTTCAGTCAAAGACTGAGTTGTAATTAGGTATTTAATATCGCTAAGGCTACTGATAGAACTGCTTAGCTTTCTCATGTTATAAGCCTTGAATAATACGTAAATGAATGGGTAGAGTTATAGTTAAAAAAAAAACACTTTATTTTCTAAAACGGGTAATAGGCAGACTGGATTACACTTATAGGCTATAATTTGCCAACTCCTGAAGTATTAATGATTCTGTGCATTTCTGGGATAATCACACTGGGCTGCCCAGGACCCTTCTTCGTCTACATTTATGTTCTATGAAGTTGAGCACCCTGCTTTAGAGACATTTCCGTACTACACCTTATCTTCTAAGGCTTTTCATATCCATGTAAGTAATGAAGGAGTGCCAGTTAATCAGGATAATCTGAGCTGTAGTAATTCTTTCAGTGTTTGAAATTGCCATACAGATTGTTGCTAAATATTTTAGACTATTCCACTAATAAGCAGAAAAATTTTCTGAAATTTGAATTATGTCAATGAAGGTTTGATTTTTAAATTATTTCTTCCATTTCTTGGGACCACTTTTAGAAAATAAGTTTCTTGGCAGTCTGTTTACTATTTCTTGATTTTTTTAAAAAGATTTTTTAGTTTAATCTGTACATGAATTTCTATTTTAATGTGTTTTTTACTGTTTAAGTGCCATATAAAGTTTATGTCCATGATGAAAGCAAATATTTTTCTTTTACTGTTTCTTTTCTACTGACATTTTTATTTTTTATTTTTTTCTTCAAATTGATTGAAATGCAGGAGATAGAATTGGTTTTTGGACTTTTTAAAAAAAATCTTTACTAAGTTTAGGTCAGCCAAGTTGGATACTGTATGAGAATGGGAGCCATGCTTATAAGGTGCCCTTGTTTATATTACTTACTCATCTTGAACTACTGATCCTAGAAGTCTTACTGTCCATTACAGGTGTTCCTTTACTAACTGCTTTCTTCTTTGATGTGCTTTAGATTACATTCAGTGTCCATATTGCCAGAGGAGGTTCAACGAAAATGCAGCGGATAGACATATCAATTTCTGTAAAGAACAGGCAGCACGCATTAGTAATAAGGGCAAATTTTCTGCTGATCCCAAAGGAAAGCCAGCTTCTCGGCCACAGGTGAAATGCACGAATTTAAACTATTTCTCCAAATTAGTGAGAATGTGCCTCTTTAAGATTCATACTTTTATGTTTATGATTTATAAAATTAAACTATAGTTTTCCCATCGGCTAAAATGGATGTGTTATTGCTAAGGGCTTTGATACAAAATTTGAATAACTACTTGAGAAAAAAATAGCACATATTAATTTATTTGAAAGGTATTTTGTTTAGTAGGGACTTCATTCCTTTCTCTAGTATTGCTAAATTGCATTTTATAAATCTTTTTTACTCAGTTTAAAGTATATTCTAATTTTTATCTTTTTACTTACAGTTCATTTCAAGTGAATCATTTATTGGACGATAATTGTTTATAGATACAGTTTGTTTGTTTTTAATTCTGTTTTAGTTTGAGACAGTATTTGCCAAAGGTTTTATACTATTAAAATGTGTTCCGTTATCTTGTATGTGTTCTTATGGTATATGCTACATGGCATCTAGAATAAAGTGTTTGTTCCACATTTGTGTGTTGAGACTTATAAATGCCAGACTGAACTGACTAAGTAATGTTGACATTTCTTTTGATTTTTCACACCAATTATAGGAGATTTGTTAAAATCTTTAGCTTTGATTATAGTATTTTCTATTTCTTATGTTAATTTTACCTCTTATATGTCACATACTTGGAAATTTTCTTAGATTATAGTGTTGTCTAAAATTGTAATCCATAATATACAATTGCTTATTTATTGGTTCTTTAAAGTGTCTTTTTCCTGATGATTTTATTTTGAAGTGTATTTTACCTCATAAGAAAATTAGTTATTTCAACTTATGATTCTTAGTTTTGCTCACATTTTCTTTCTTTCTTTTTTTTTAACTTAAATATATGCTTCTGCCAGTCTATAGACTAGACTATAATCAGTTTGGGTTTTGTTTGTTTGTTTGTTTTGTTTTGTTTTGTTTTTAAATTTGTCTGCTAAGCACCCTGGGCTGTTTTGTTTGGACAGGCACATGAAATGCAATTCTTCTTAGTAAATTGCTTTAGGTCTGTCATGCTTCTGCCTTCAATTATTTTCATGTACACAAACACATGCACATTATTCTGTGCTTTTATCTTTTTTCTTTGTTTTCATTGCTTTTCTACCTCTTTGACATTGTCTGTCTGGAGACATTTCAAATTAAATCAATTGCTGTCCAGTTTGGCTGACTAACTTTGATTTATACATCTGATCTGTGTGCTGGCAGGTGTTTGCTACAATCTCAGATGGGGTTGAAATGGCAGTTTCTTAGCTAATCTAAAATTCAGTGCTTTAAAATGGTTTTCATATCATTGTAAATATTATTTGTAGTTTCCTGAGACACTTACAGTTTTTGTAGAAGAGTTGGTCTACTCAAACATTTTTGTCAAAAATAAACTTGTTTTGATTTCTCTATTAGAGTACTTTATTTTATAAATGTGGAAACTTACCTTAACCATATTTAAGTGTATACTCGGTATTACTAAATTTATTCAGATTGCTGCATAACTGTCATCATTGTCTGTCTCTACAGCTTTTCTTGTAAAACAAAATTTCTGTCATTAGGTCTGCTGAGATGTTGAATTACTAGTTTGCACTCCTTGATGACAAAATGACATTGATTTTTTTTTAATTTTCATTATTTTAGTATAAGCCATCTCCACTTAAAAAATCAAATTCTCCTGGGACTACATCATCAGGATCTTCCCGACTACCACAACCAAGTACTACTAACAAAACTGTTGTAGGTAATGAGATCTGTATGGCAAACTAAATAAACAAACAAAGGAAAACCATGTTAGTTGATAAGGATGATGAAATGATGAAAGTGGCCTTATCTAGATTGTTAAAAAAAATTGTGAGTAAGAAATTTAGAGTAGTAATTCTTTCTGGGTAAAACTGAAAGAGGGTTGAGTCGCTTCTACAACCAAGTTCTTTTCTGGATTACTTGAGAGGCCACAGTGATTGTAGGGGCTTCTTGTATCTGAACTTGACAGCTGTTCCTATAAGACAAGCGCTAACGGCTTAAAGAAGATAACCTAAAGTGAGGTGTTATGTGGGTCAGTGATGAGATACAAATGAGAAGGAACATATTCCTCATTAGTAGTTGTAAATTATTTATAACTATAGGCACAAAGAGTGTTGATAGGGAACCCTTTTCCTTGTTAGAGTCTCTGTTTTGTATGACTTTTCTTTCAGACTATTCTTAAAACTGACCTTTTTTATTATAAGGTGTGCCTTCGGGTAAAGCATCTTCAGTTAACAGTTCTCTGGGAAACAAACTTCAGACCTTATCTCCTTCTCATAAAGCAATAGCAGCCCCCCAGGCAGGGTAAGTGTATATTGAATGTGGTATTGGTGCTGTATGTTTAAATTATATCAGTGTTTTGTGTTTGTCCTTAATCCTTTTTCTAAGTTCATTTGTTTCTTTTAGCATATTGCTAGTAAGGAGATATTCAGTAATGCTATTGAAAAATCTCAGGATAGCTGTTTCAGAAAAATATATTTGGTATTTATTAAGATCCTTAAAGTTGTGTGCGTGTGTACATGTGCGTGTGTGTGTGTGTGTGTATGCATGTGTGTGTGTGTATGTGTTTGATTGAACAGTTGTATTTTGGGGGCATCTAAGAAATAATGGAAAATATTAAAGGTTTAGTAATAGCTGTCATATTTTGAACACTGTATTTCAGACATTGTGCTGCACATTTTGATAGGATTTAATTTTAAGTCTTCACTGTCGTCATGGAGTAACTCAGAATCAGATTTGTTTAAAGCTATGTAACTTTTAGGAAGAGCGAGGTGCTGATTGAGATCTCTTTGAGTAGAAAACAGTTAAATGTTTTATTATAATGTACAAAAATTGCCTATTTTATAATAATGTATAAAAATCACCTAAGTGTATAGTTTTAATGGAATAATATGTATAGAAATATAAAGATATTTGGCAACCATGAAGATATTTATAAATGCGTTTTCATAACGATTTTGCTATGAGAAAAATGTAGGGTACAAAATTTAAAATGGAATTTCTTATTGTATACCTACAGTGTACGAAGTGTAATATGGAACTGGAACTAAAAATATGTTTAGGCAAAAATATACTGAATTATCAGTTTAGGTAAGACTGTTCACTAATAGTTTTATTCTTCCTATATGACTATTATTTTATACAGATGTCTTTTAGTGAAAAAGCTTCTTTGATAATATTAGATAGTTTATTATCTAAATATTTATTTTCATATTTAAATGTAAATCTAAAGATTTACACTCCTCTGTTAATGAATCACAAGGTTAAGGAATTGGTATAAAACCATCAGTACAGACGTTTTTGTCTTTTTTTTTTTTAACATATGTGATGGTTAAAAAAACATAGCTCACACTATTTTGAGTATGCTTTATCTCTGACTCATAGTCACTAATTTTCATGAAGACAATTTACAGAGGAATAATTGCCAGTTGTCAATAACCCTCTTTTCCTCACTCAATTCAGACAGCATAGGAAATCCAAGATATACAAAGACCTTGAATCTGGGAGATGAGTCAGTGGGTAAACATTTGCCATTTAAGTAAGAGTACCTGAGTTCAAATCCTGGAACCCACGTAAGTCCCAGGCATGATGATACACATAACTGTATTCCCATCATTCTGCCGGGGAATCCCTGGAAGCTCATGGACCAGCTAGCCTGATATACATAGCAGTAAATAAGGAACTTTTGGCAAAAAGGCAGAGGTGAGGACCAGTTCCTGATGTTGTCTTCTTAGCCTCACGTGTGCACCATGGCACATGTGTGCCTACATTTAGACACACCAATATGTGTACACATACACACAGATATCACATACACACACACACACACACACACACACACACACACACAAAGTTTAGTGTGATGACGATACAGCTTAGTGGTGGGACAGTTGCCTAGCATGTGCAGAGTCTTGAGTTCAATTCCCAGCATCATCAAAAAGAAAACAAATAATCAAGACTACAGAATAGAAAAGGAACAAAAACCAACTAACAATATGCTAACGAAGTACAATAAATTAAGTTTCTTTTTCTTTTTCATCTTCTGGTGGTTAAAAAAGCAAAAATACTAATTTATTATTGTCTTGTCTACTGGTAAACTCATTTCATAATAATGCATAGACATAGCAGTTAATTTTACAAAACCTTTTTACTATAGCAAAGAGAATTGCTTTTATTTGGGCTCTGATATTTTTAGTATTTTGGTTATCGCTGATTATAAGTTAGGAGGCAATATTTTTCAGTACTTCTGTTATACTGATGATTTTCTCTTTGGTCATATTAAGTTGTATTTCACACTTTTTAAGTAGGCTGTGCATAAGAAGCTGGCTACTAGAATTTTTCAAAAACAATGTGGGGGCTGGGGAGATGGTTCAGTGGTTAAAGTACATGCTGTTCAAGCATGAGAAATAGGGTTCTTATCCTGAGAAGCCATGTAGCACTGAGTGGGCATAGTAGTCTGCCTGTAATTCCAGCCCTGGAGATGGCTTCGCAGTTCCCAGATTAAGCTGGCTAAAAGACTAGCCTTACCAATAGCTTTGGGTTCGATGGAGAGACCCTGCTTCAATGAATGAGATGGAAGAACACAGTCAAGGATGATTCCTGATACCCACCTCAATCCTCCACAAGCCTGTATACACACATGCATGCACACCCACACATCCAAAAATAATCAGAAATGTGCACACATACATGCAAACTCCACAGACACAAAGAGACAAGAGAGAGAAAGACAGAGGAACAGGCAGCACATAGTACTGAGTGAGTGAGCACACTGATCATGGAGTCAGAAACCCAGGCTCTTGTATTCTGCTATGCCACTAGGTAGGTATGTAACAGTATATCTCTCTGACACCTCTTTGTGACTGTGTTTAGACTTTGAATACTGCTGTAAAAAACCTAACCAACATTTATATGATCCCTAAGAGAAAAATGTCTTTACTAAGAGGCAGAGATTTTGAGCACTGCTTATCATGCCATGAAAATTGATCACTTTGGTTACCCCATATCATATTAAACTGGCAGTCATATGTGTTCAGATTCCAATTGTCCATATGAAGAGCCTTCTGCTTGAACAGGAGTTATCGTTTACTTCTGACCAACTATATTAGTTGGAGTATCACTGTGTTCCTGTAATGTATTAGAACCACTCAACAACTGTCTGTTTAGTGCCAGCTACCCTTTCTGGTTTAGAAATTTTGGAGCAGTGATTCATTTGATTGTTTCCTTGATAAACTATAAAACACCGTGATGACAGGATCAACAATAAAAAATCAACAACAACAACAACAAAACAACAGAAAAGGACCTTAACTAAATTCCTGGAATTTTTAGGGGTTGAGTGATAAAACTAATGAATTGATCAATTTAGTTTATCAACTATAAGCTTGTTGGCCCATCCTAAAGTAGTGGCCTGGTGATGAATTATGTAACTTTTGCATGGGAATGATCTTTTTCATTTATGCGTTAATTCCAGATTGAGTGAAGGTAGGATTAAGACATTTAGTCAGCTGTAACATTGAAGGTATCGAGCATTATCTGAGATTGATAAATGTCAGCACTTGATCCTACAGTTGTTTCAAACATGCTGTTTATAGCCTTTAGTATGGTTTACTCATGTATGCTAGTCTTATCATATATTGAGATTATGATTTTTTTTTTTTTTTTTTTTTGGTTTTTCGAGACAGGGTTTCTCTGCGTAGCTTTGCGCCTTTCCTGGAGCTCACTTGGTAGCCCAGGCTGGCCTCGAACTCACAGCGATCCGCCTGGCTCT